AAAAAAAAACTAACTTAAATACTTAAAGTAATTATTATGCGATATTGGGCAGTTCTAGCAATGAGACTAGCACCGGTGTTATCATTATTAAATAATCTTATTATATATATATAAATTACATGTCACGTTGTTTGTCCGCGATGCACTCCTAAACTACTTGACCGATTTTAATCAAATTTGCACACCGTGTGCAGTTTGGTCCAACTTGAGAGATAGGATAGTTTTTTGCCCATGAGTGATCCACATTTTTTGCGAATTTAAGGACTTTTAATAGGACATGACATGGTTGTCGAAAAGGGCAGAACAACGTCTGCCTGGCAAGCTAGTAATATTTAAATCATATAATTTGAATGTGCTACTTTCAACTAGTGCCTTAAAACTTGGTCCGATTTACTAAATATAAGTATTAATTATCTCTGTATCTGTCTTTTTCTATTGTCATTTGGTAAAGTGAGAGAGGACAACTTTAAAAGCATTTCTTGAATTGATGTCGAATTTTAATATGACCGAGGCCGAAGATAATTACTTCACTAAAAAGACTTCGATGACAATTTAATATACCTATAATATGCTCTTTAAATTTTTATCAAATTTTGTCCTCTTAAAAGTATATTACGTTGTCAAATCGAACGTTTCTTATACGTCCCGCTTTTCCCGCTGTCCCTAAAATGCGTGTCACTTTTAATAGTTAAATATTCCCAAAAATATGTGAATCAGTTGGCCTGATTGGTAACCCTAACGCGTGCACACGAGTGAATGTTTATTTACGATTGTGTATGATTGTTGTGTGCGTGCGAGTTCCCTTGAACCTGCGCGCGCGCCGGATTCCAATACAAACCCGTTCTGGAGACTAGCGCATGCGATGCGTGAAAAATCGTGTTTTCCACACTGCTTTCATGTGTGTTTACTGTTTACCCGCATGTTAAATGCAATAGTCTTTGTACTAAGTGTGAGATGGTATTGAACTTGTCAAGGGTCATTCCCATTGTGTGCGTGTGGCCTACTCCGTCACATACACATTATTTTGTCGTTAAATGTGAGAATAATACATACGAATTCCACTAACATTTTTTTATAGAATAAGGGTGACTAACGAGCACATAGTCCACTTGATGGTAAGTGGTTGCTGTAGCCCATAAAAATCTTCATTTATCCTCGATTAAGAATCCTGTCACCCCTGAGGACTAAGATGAATTGCCTCGTTTCCAGTAAAAAACGGTCTTCGGATCTCTACAGTCACCATGCAAAACACAGCAGTATTAGGCTGCTATTTCACTTCTGTGAGAGCGTGGTCCTTCCCCGGTCGAGCCGACCCCTTAGTGCTACAACCATAATATAGCTGTAGCGTGTCTCTACTACGTATAGAAATAACATAGGCATGTGTGAGCCTACGTATCGATAAACTGATGCAATATCGTCATCATTACGGCCTACCATCAGGTGGACTGTGTGCTCGTTAGTCACCCTTATTATATATAGAAAAACATAGTATATCCCCATAGATTGCCTCATAAGGGGATTTTTCCAATTTTAGTGGCAGTTGTTTTTTTTTTCTAGGTGTTGTTAGAATAACGTTGCTGACCTCCTAGTTTAATGGTGCCACGTACGAAACCCACATGGGGTGTTCTTATACCGCTACTACATCGTTAATCCGATCAACGGATTTTATAGTGACGGTGTAAGAATGTTAGACAGAAGCAACATACATCTGCCCGATATAACAAACGTTATTTTGTTTAAAAAAATTTCAACATTATAAATTAATGGCCTTTGATTATGTTCAATGTAAATTGATCCTATCCGGGCGAAACTGGGGGCAGGTCGCTAGTATTTTACAAAGTTCAGATTCAAAGGTATCCGCCGACATAAATACGGAATAAATAAGGCAGATACGACGCCCCTGAACTACCAGGCGTACATAACCATATTGTATATGTCCTTCAACCAGAGTCAATCGCAATGAGCCATGGCACAAGCGGTAACTTGAGATTGACTCCAAGTTGCATTTTGTACGTGTTTCACAGACATCACTCATCAACCCCATTTTTGTTTCTTCTTTTTACAAATAACACGCAGATAGTACAAAGACAAGGCTACAGTGATAAGCTATAATAAAATCCCAAAATGGCATTCGAATCATCTATGTTATACATGTTACAAAGTCTACTTAAGAAATAAGCCATATACTAGATACGGTCGCCCCTGAAGGACCCGGCGTGCAAACTGTATTGTGCTTGTCCTTCAACCAGAGCCAATTGCAATGAACCGTGACACAAGCAGTAACTTGAGATTGACTACAAGTTGCACTTTGTACGTGTTTCACAGACCGGGACAATTTAATCGATCACCGACTCCGTTCTTTTCTTTTTACAAATAATACGCATATCAAAGACAAGCTATTTAGAACGTAGATAAGAAATATAAAACCCCAAAATGGTGTCTGAATATTCTACGTTAAACTCTTCTAATAAAATAGCGGTTGCAAACCCGCGTGCTAAGCGTGGCATATGGGGCAAATATCCCCCTCAGGGTGGAAATTTATGGGAACCTATCACAGCCTCTTATGGCTCCGTAAAGGTATGGATTGTATGCAGCATGGGTCACGAGCTTCACCTTTTCAAAATAAAAAATGACTTTGTCTTGTTCACGGTGTGCTCCCAAGCATTTTTGTGGTGCAATAGATTTCTTGGTCTTATTGCCAATGTTGCCTTCACCTGGAGAGGATCTATTGCTGAGGCCTATGTTCAGCTGTGAACTTTGATAGACTGTAACGATGATGAATAAAAGTGAACAAACAAAAGGATGTCACCTGTTTTGCTGAATTAGAAAAATGTGATAATTATAAATGTTTATATAATATTTGGTTTAATATAGATATTATTAAAATTAGTAAATTTATATTTCTTTTCATCAATCCACGACAAAATTAAGGCCAATTAGGCTCATTTTTAAAAACATTTTGAAATGTTATCACATTTTGATTATCACTTCTAAGTTGAATGATACCTTACGTCCATAGCATTCAATTGAAAGCATTACTATTTAATAGCTGTTATATAAGAGACATTAATAGCTAACGAGTAGAAAACTCTTAAATAATCCAAATTGTTTGTCCGTCGGAACTCGGAAGCGTCCGTGCTATCAATTAATTCAACATGCGAGTTATATTTGCATAAGATAGTTAAGTTGGTGATAAACTGGCCTTGGGTGCCACTAACACGAATGTTACACCATCGCTTTCTAATATAGTAAAACAAGTTATATCATGACGGTGATTATGTCCGCATGGACTGTAATGTATAAAAAATCATATTAATACAGTAATCTTGATGCTCCGTGGCGCAATAGCTTAGCAATGAGTTACAGTGCTAAGTGCGCGGGTTCGAATCCGCAAGGAACAATTTTTTTATATGGTGTAGAAAAACTATTAATTGTTCCGGGTCTGGATGTCTGTCCTTTCGAAAATTATGTAAGTAAACTATCACCACGATACAGGAGATTGTTTTACTTCATTCTATTCTACAACGGATACTATAAACACTGAAGTATTCACAAGGTCCTGGTTGCCTTGTAACGGACATCTATGTCAATAGATTTAAAATAAAAACAACTTGTCATACTGGAGATAAAGTTCTTATGTTGTCAAATTTAGAACCTCCAACATTTTTTGAGTCGGGTGAAAATAAAAATTACTTCGGGTATTAAATTTTTGACCAATGTAACTTGGTTGCTCAAATGTTGAATCTCAGTAATCGCATCAATTTTTACTAACTCCACACAAGACGGCACTGACTGAATGAGAGGAGACGAGGTACGTGCGTGGTGTAGTGAATGTCAACTTGAACACGTACGTCTGGTTCAAAATTCTCAGTAGTCATACTCTACAAAATACATGCATTTTTTATCAATACTTTCGTAGTTTATTTTAGGAATAGTAATTGGCAAGCATAAACTAGCAAGAGGCTGTAGAATAGTTTTAGTGTACACTTATACTACTTCTATTGACTTCTTTACGCGTGGTACTCTAAATATTTGTGAGACCAAATGGTTCGAATAAAAATCAGTTATTGTGTTGTTCTTTTAAAGAAATTCTAGCCCGGAGTCATATTATCCTGAGTAGTCGAGCGACACAGGTAGCTCAGGTAGCTCAGGGCCGTACTTTGTGGCAATCAATTGGTGCTTAAGCAGTAAACTTGTGATGAGCTGTAATGAAGATGATTATTTTAAATTTCTGAATGTTATTAAATACTAATTAATATTTCTCCTTTTCTTTTAAATGCCTAGTTAATTGTTAGTTGTCCATCTGACGCTAAGACCATGACCACCTACAACTACTTAAAATAATAAAGACAAAAAGGGTTATATTTCCACCCTAAAAAATCTACCCTAGGGTGAATATTCGGAAACGCGCGATTATCCACCCCATCTGGGGTGGATAATCGGAATTCGTATATATAATTTTCTTCTAACTTTCCCTATCGGCTGTTTACAGTCATTTATAGAAACATGGTAAAAAATGGCACAAGATACTTAGTAGACATTACCTATAAAATATATACATATTTCTTGTTTGAAAGGACAACGTTGAAAACTTGAAATAAAAAGAGTAGGTACCTCACAGGATTAGTAATTAATTGCAAATCTTCGAATAAAATAATTTAAAATAAAGTAAAAGACAAACTTCCAATCGTAACTTTTTTGAAATGCTTGCAAAAAACGCCAAATTCTTCGCCAACACATATTTGTTAGCAAAGAAATTTAAAAAACGATTGCAAATGTGAAAATTAGAAGTGGTAATTGCCTGGATATATTACAGAATTTATAAATTCAGCAATAAATAATATTGTTTAAAATGAGGTAGTTTAATTTGATTTAAATGCAATTCTTAATGTGTGGACTTTAATATGCTGTGACTGTAACGGTGTGGTTATTAAAAATTAATTAATAATTTAAGTGTGTTTAACTGTACTTGCGGTGAAAAGTCGGAATAACAAATAAAGATGAATTCCGAGTATCCATCATAGGGTGGATTGTTTAGACTGGATAAACGGATAACTCGACAAAAGGGGTCTCCGGTTCCCGTCGCTCACCTCACTCGCGAAACAGCAGCATTATGCTATTCCGCTGTGAAGGGTGCATAGAACCAGTATACCTATAATCAACCAAATCTAAGAAATACATTTTGACAGCTCTCAGACTTATTGCGCCAAGCATGCCATCCAAAAAACGAGAACATACAACGATTCTTAGAAAATCGATATATATTATTTAGAGTTAGTAATCATTTACATTTTGGTTTGAATAATACCAAAATAAATTAAAAACGGATAATTTAAAACACAAGATTTATCAGTTTCTTTGTATTTGTTGTTACTGCTTATTTCTAGAGGCAAAGTTATAAAAAGTTAAAAAAAAACTAGATTAAAAATAAATTTATTCAATGTGTAGTGTTAGCGTAAATTTAAGAAATCGTTATAAATTTATTCAATCACTTTTAGTACAGCTAGTTGAGCTGTATTTGTTAAGATTACTTATTATTTGATTTTGAATAATGCAGTCAAAATTAATGTCTTTTTCAAAGACATCCATAATCAATTTTTTGTTTTTTTTTCTACCACTTTTACCCAATCATCCTTTGTGACATGTGCACATGTTTCAATGAATATAGAAGAAACAGTCCAAAAAGTTAAAGCTGAGTCATAAAATAAGAAGACAAATCACAAAATTACGCACAGTAAGCTCCCAATGGCGGGAGATTGAAATTACGTATTGGTTTTTTTCACCGCGGCCTTGTATATAAGTTTTTTGCATACATTAATTTACTTCGAAAATGTAAAAAATATAACTTGTTTTATTCATGATTCATATACTTAATTTAAAGAATTTTAAAAATAAAAATTTTACTAAACAAATAATACATTAAAAAATTAGTTATTCGATTATTAGAATATTTTTACCGATTATTTGAATATCTTTGCCAATTATTCGCATAACAATGAATTTTAATCATCCAAACACTACGGTAAGTTACATGGCGACATATCATTGAAACGACGTCAAGTAAAACAGTTGTTACTGTTTTTTTTTTTTTAATATTTTGCTTTGTTTCAAACAAGAGAGATTCGAATTTAAATTAATGATAAAAAAAGTATATACAGCTTTCTTTGTTTGAAGTTGGCTGCAGGTGTCCATGGGCTAGCTACATACTATCTTATCATTATACTCACTATCGGGTGGACTATATGTTAGTATAATTGTATAAAATAAAACATTAGGAGGTAGTATTCTTATATCTAGGCCTAGGAGATTTTTTGAGTAGACACCTTAATGATTTATATGTCTGCCGCCAAACAACAATTCGTGTACTTTTGATGGGAGTTAGTGTAATTACACAAATTCTCTAATGTGACCTTCAACCTTCTTTGTTCGAAGTGGGCTTGGAAAATAAGTATCCAGAGTATTAAAGTAATGGTTTGCCCGCAGGCCGGCGAGCCGGGCGTGGTGGTGCTTCGCCCGGAGGCGCTGGCGCGCGACTCGGGCTCCGAGTCGGATGGCAGAGGGGGAGGGGGTTGATGGGGTGGGGCGGCCGCCGTCACCGCTCGCCGTGCGCTTCGTCAACGACAACGTACTCATCAACGGACGCTCCTCCATGCCCACCAGACCCAACAGGCAGCGCATCGCCAATGTAAGTACCCAACGCCTTGCTACAGGTTGCTACTACTCGAGCAGAGCGATAGAGAGACCCACCCAAAGGCAGCGCATCGCAAAGGTATGTGCCCGTCCGTCTAGATACAGGTTAGTGCTGTTGGCTGAAGTTCTCTTTGTCGCGTTCCGAACGGAGATCCCGGGATCCTCCATGCCCACCAGACCCAACAGGTAGTACATCACCAAGGTATGTGTCCCCGCCTGCCTTAATATAGGTTGTTACTGGTCGAGTAGAGCGATGGCGGGGCTCCGGTTGCCTTTAGAAGGGAGATATCTGGAAACCTTCATGCTCGCCAAAACCAACTAGCAGCGCATCGCTGGCGTTTGTGCCCCCCTTGCTACAGGTTGCTACTCGAGCAGAGTGATCGGAAATTTGTTTTTTTTTTAAATATAGAATAAGGGTGACAAGCGAGCACACAGTCCACCTGATAGTGTACTGTGGCCCATAGACATCTATGTTTATCCTCCATTAAATTTAAAACGCAGTTTCCAGTAAATATAGTCTCCGGTCCTCTACAGTCACCATACGAAACACAGCAGCATTAAGCTACTATTTTACGCTGGCATTGTGAGAGCTTTGTTCTACCCCGGTCGAGTGGACCCACTCGTGCTACAATCATAATATAGCTGCAGCATAGCTCTACCACGTCAATCGTATATGCAGACATATGGCCACATCTTAGGTAGACTTCGATCGTTATTTTTACCCTGTTATTAAATTAATATGACACATATAATAAGGATGCTGCTGATATGTGATTGTCTGTTTCCAGTTGAAGCTGCAATTCGACGATTCACTAACGCGCACGTTCGAGTACCCGTCGGAGACGTCCCTGTGCGAAGAGTCGCCGTCCTCTGATACCGCTGTCGCTACCTCTCCCGCTACCTGCACCGCTACCTCTCCCGCTACCGCTACCACGCCCACTACCGGCACGCTCGCCGCCAACACGCACCTCGGTAATTTATTTTTATTTACTTAATATTAGTAATGTTAATAACATTACTAATATTCCATTTAGCAACTCCTAGTTAGCTTAAAATACTTGTGAAGGAGTCAAATGGCGGATCCGAACTCATAAACTTTTAAGTTGGCAATTCGTACGCAGGGTACTTTAGGCTATTGTACATATTGATATTCTCATCCCCGCTAGCTCGTTTGATAGTTCTCTGCTGGATATGGGCAGGACAGGAAGGCTATGCTGTCCTCACCACTATTCCTTTGATGATATCTCCCTATCCATCCATCACAGCTCAACATAAGTATATATCTAATACTGCTGAACATAGGCCTCCACCACATATTGGCCAATAAGGTGGATTTTTATGATAATTGCCACGCTGTCAGGTGGGTTAACGACTACAGTTTTTATTTTTATTTGAAATTCTTACTCAGTCTTAGTTACTATAAAATCTGTGAAGGCATTACAATGTCTTGAAACCTCATTAAGTGCATTGTCTAAAGTTCGGCTGCGTCGGTCTTCGTCGCTGCGGCTGAGAACGCGATGCGGCGAGACTTTCGTATGAGGTACACGCACACACACAAACAAACACGCGCGCGCATATAAACACACACATACACACAAGCGCGAGTAAGTACGTACGTACCTACGTTCACACACTTGTACACATAGTGTGTTGGTGTATCTTTGTGACTTGTATTGCCTGTGATGCTAAGTGATGCTCATACAGACTGCAACCTCATCAAATCATTTGACGCCTTATCAACGTATCCAATGATGGATAGTTTAAAGTTATTAATACGTTCAGATGATGAAAAATGAAATAGTCACTAAAAGTCAATAAACAATTTTTTATTTATTTAAAAATATTACCCCCATACTAGGATTTTGTACTGTATCGTGGGGCAGTTTACATATATATATATATATATATATACAGTATCATAGGGGAGGTAGTTGCTGTAGTTGTTTTATTTGTAAAATTACACTTATACAGAAAACATCGTTAGAAACTGAAGTTTATAGTTTTGTTACCAGTAAGATGCTGCTGTCCGATCTCATGTTTCCATCTCCCGCTGTCGCCGCTCACGACCCGACGACGACATGCGGTAGTGGGTATTCTTACACCACCACATTGTCATTCCTCTATATAAATATATACATATTATATTCACACATACCTGAAATTTCACATCACATTATCTTGAAACAGTAATCTAGCTTCAGCATGGACAGACTATGAAGCTTAATGGTTAAAACAGTAAATTAAAAATACCAAACTGTGTGGAAAGAATTACTGAAAAAACCCTTCCCCTCCCTTTTTTGTATTTGCAAATGCAATATATAGCCTATCTTATCTTGACTGTGGGGGTGACCCACAGTCACGACGAATGTAACCACATCTCATAATACATTAAAATCCATCAAGCCGTTTACGCTACAAAACAAGTGTTAAAGAAATTAACATACATACATAAGCTCGGTAAACATTAGCCTCCTTCTGTGGCAGTCGGGTTTTTTTATATAATAAGGGTGACAAACGAGCACACAGTCCACCTGTTGGTAAGTGGATGCTGTGGCCCATAAACTTCTACATTTATCCTCGATTAAGAATCAAAATGCAGATACGTTGTCACACCTGAGGACCAACAGGAAATATCTTTACCCACCATACCAAACACAGCAGTATTGCTATTTGACGGGTATTCTGTGAGAGCGTGTTCGTAGCATGGCTCTATCACGCTGTAACCACAACTAATTTACTGATTTGCACGCACTATTATTACATTGTGTTAAGCTCAATGGACAACCCCTGATGAGCAACATGAAATACCTCTACACTCACCATACAAAACACAGCAGCCTTAGCTATTTACGCCGGTATTCTGTGAGAGCGCGGTCCTTGCCCGGGCGAGCCGATCCGTTCGTGCTACAACTATATACCTGCAGTGTGACGCTACCTCGTACAACACATCTATTTTCCTGATTTGCACTACTATTGCATTATTAAAGCTCAATTAGATTACAGTCAAGTAAGAATATAAGACAAAAATAATACACATGCTACGTCAAATTACTGAAACTTGTTTATTTTGCTCATTATTTGTGATTTCTACTCTTAAGATATTTGTTTGCAGTTTTGTATTGCTAAAGCTATCACTTAGTTTAAGCTTTAATCGACTTCAAAAAAAAAAAGGTGTCATCAATTAAACTGTATTTTTAAATGTATATATAACACATCTCTAAGGTTATTTATCCGATAATTTTCTCAGGGATCTCTTTTGAGCTTTAATAATGTTATCAAACGATATTGAAGTCGATTTAAGGTTTTTGTGGTCATTTCAATGAATGAGGGCAACTTTTTCTGCCAGCAAGACGACGCTACTTAGAAATGAGGTGAAATATTAGACAGATTTTAAAGCTTATTTATTAGAAAAGTGTAGAGAGTAATGATTATTTTTGAAGTATTAAGTTATATTTTATATTAATTAGATTAGAAATGGATAAAACAAACTATGGATATTTCTAAAAATGGAAGAATTTAAAGAAATGTGTAGAAAATTAAGGAATACAACACTGAGGCTATATTTTGTGTATGTATACACATCACAAAAAGAAAAAATTTATAATTAAATCGCAACTAGTCAATGAGGACACTGTGTGACCATTTGCGTAACAATTAGGTTCACTTTAGTACCAACAAGCGACATCAGTCTGGTGAGTGTAAGACTTAGACCATTCAAATGTTCTAAGGTGTAAGATCATTTTTATTCAATATAGATAGAAGTTTACGTGTAATTCTTATTGATAGTCATTTTTAACTTTTACCACTGGTTCGAAAAAAAACCTCCGTCGCCCTGTCCTGAGAAGAAACCCAGGAGTTTTCTTTTTTCAAAGTAAATTTTACAATAAGAAAGTTTATAGAAACTATTTACAAAATTTATTTTAAAAACAGCTTGGAAGTGATCACCTCATACCCAGGGGTTATTATCAACCATGTATATCATAATAACCCTTTTTATACAGTTTTTGTTTAATTAAATATTGTAACTTGTTAATAAATAGTTGTATATTTTCTAAGACCATGAATGAATCACTGACTGTGGAGTCGAGATACTGGTATCAACTAGCTTGTGTTTGTTCCTAGTGTTTACAGAGTGTATACTACTTTATTACTAACTGCTTAGATTTATATATTATTTATGTGAATAATTATGTTTTATATTTATAGATTATAATTTATAATATATATTACTATGTTTTTTCAGTGTCCGGATCGCTGGGTCGCTACACGCCGAGTAAGACACACGCAGATTCCTTCCAGCTCGGCCTCACAAGGCCTCACGCCGGTCAGTAAACTCTCTCGCCAGACTCCTCATAGCGTAGTATAATAAGAGCAAGACACTTATATACTTAAGGCAAAGGATGAAAAGATTTTGGGACAATACTGTACTGTACATGTACTGAACTTTGGTGTACCACTGGGTCTCATCCTTGGTCCCGTTCTTTGTCTTATTTGCATTGCTGATATACTAAGGAATAATATTTCATAAATATTATTTTATAATAAAATGTCCTTATAGTCAACCAAATCTAAGAAATACCTTTTGACATTTCACATTAATCATTCCGCATTAACTTTGTGCAAGCGTACTCACACGATTTAAAATAACCTTTTACGTAAATCCGAAGTATTATGAAGTTATCTATATTTCATAACAACGTCTATAGTTTTTTATCATTAATTTAAATTCGAATCTTTCAAACAAAGCAAAATGTTGTAAAAATAACCAGTATCAACTTTTTTACTTAACATTGTTTCAATGATATGTCACTATGTACCTTACCGTAGTGTTTAGATGATTTAAATTCGTAGTTATGCGAATAATCGGCAAAAATATTCAAATAATCGGTAAAAATGTTCAAATAACCGAATCATTAATTTTTTTATGTATTATTTCTTTAAATAATTTTTTATTTTTAAAATTCCTCAAATTACATGAATCATAATTAAAACAAGTTTATTTTTTTTATTTTGTCAACATAAATTTGTGTAGGCCAAATAACTCATATACAAGGCTGCGCTGAAAAAAACGTAATTTCAATCTCCCGCCATTTCGGAAGCTTACTTTGCGCAATTTTGTGATTTTATGTTTGTCTTCTTATTTTGTGACTCGGCTTTAACTTTTGGTCTGTTTCTTCTATATTCATTGAAGCATGTGCCCATGTCACAAAGGATGATTGGGTAAAAGTGGTAGAAAAAACAAAAAATTGATTATGAATGACTTTGAAAGAGACATTAATTTTTACTGCATTATTGAAAATAAAATAATAATTAATATAAACAACAACAGCTCAACTAGTTGTACTGAAAGTGATTGAATAAAATAATTTTTAATCTAGTTCCAATCTTAAATTTTTATAACTTTTCCTCTAGAAATAAGCAGTAACAGAATAAATAATAGTAGTACTCCTTAGCAGTAACAACAATTACGAAGAAACTGATAAATTTTGTGTTTTAAATTATCTATTTCTAATTTATTCTGGTATTATTCAAACCAAACTGTAAATGATTACCAACTCTAAATAATCGATATTGATTGTTTTAAGAATCAAATATTGTACGTTCCCATTTTTTGGACGACATGCTTGGTGCAATAAGTCTGACAGCTGTCAAAATGTATTTCTTTAGATATGGTTGATTATCAATAATAATATATTTAATCAAAGATGTTTTATAGGTACAGATACCGTCTTGCTAACACATCGCACCGTTCACAGTGACGCCAGTCTTTGATTCATGTGTGCGTGAGTACCACGTGACGCGCATATCTTACGTACCATGCCTGCATTAGTGTGCGTGACTTCGGTAATAATAGTGCGAATCAATTGCCCAAAAATTTGGGAGATTTTATATTTCATTCATATTGACATACCTGAGTGTAAAATATGTGTTCGAGGCGTGTGCATTTGTGTACGTATGTGAATGGGGATATACACACAAGGGATATGGGTGGTTATGTGTGTTTTATGTAGGTCTGTACGAAAATCGCACTAAAATAGTGAAGATAAGTAATAAAAACTAGATATAATTAATGTAACTGTTAAAAATAAATCAAAAATCACATTAGATATTTATGTATCTAACATATCTTGAATTAATCTAGGTATTATTATTGAATATATATATATATAGAGTACTACACTTTCGTACCTTAAAACCCAAAATATTGACGCGAAGACATTAATTATTTTTAATCTTAAGTAAAATGACGTACAAAAGTAAGTTTGGTTAAGTGTAAACTTCGGCCAAGAAATAGCAAATGTTGGTTTTTTTTTTGAATTTCATATATCGATACAGTTTCATGACTAGATCAAATCATTGCGTAAAATCAATTAAATCCTGCCACTGGAAGACGATAAAAGATTGTGTGTTTAAAGGCTACATTTTGTACTGTAAAACCTGTAAATAAATAAAAAAAATATAAAATCAATGTTGATTGTGTATAAGTGCCCTTGACATGAAAGTGAAGTAAACATTATATTATAATTATATAATAAACAATAATATAACATAATTATATAACAAATAATAATATAACATAATTATTATAATAATATAATTTAATCACAAAACTAAAGTCCTCATTAGTAATGTAACGGTAAAAGAATTTTCAAAATCTGTCAAGTAATTTTTGAGATAAATCAAATAAAACATATTCATAGAAAGTAGTGTCATCTATAATAAAATACATCCTACATTAGACATCTTAAATTATACATAACATTCTAGTGGTAAAAGAATTTTCAAAATCGGTCAAGAACTGTACGAGTTTAGCTAAAAAACATATTCGTTGATGGTAGTGCCCTCTATATTAAAATACATCCCACATTTCACAGTCATAATAGCATTCTAATGGTGAAATAATTTTTTAAATAGGTCAAGTAGTTTTTGAGCACCATTCCAAAAAGCGATTCCACAGTAAAATCATAACCATCCTTTTTCTTTTGTAGTCGGATAAACAACCGGTTCACAACGGTTGCGTATCGGCTGCTTTGGATAAATATCCGTTGTCAACAGTTGCTTTACATCTATTAATGACATTAAAATAGGGAAAAACATTTCATACAGTAGGCAACACTCGAATATTATTGCGCAGTATTATTACTTGTATTGACATTCAGCTTTCGTATTAATTTATCAAGAAATACACCAGAAAATTGTATATTTACTTATGAAAAGTGATGTTCTTATCTTTTTCTTTTTTCCAAGAGTAATTTTTACATAATTTCGCAGCACAAACAGTCATGTTCCGAAATTAAAAACACTGGTGCGTGATGTATGTTCGCAGTGAACGTCGCTGGCGTAATGGCGGAACGATCGAACGAATACGCCAATATTGGCGCCTTTTAAATGGAAGCGTTTTAGGCGCGCGTACACGGTATCTGTACCTATAAAACATCTTTGATATTTTATGTTAAAGTTAAGTGATGCACACTGTACGTTACACCTTAAAATGCTGCTGATGATGATATAAATAAAGTATGCTGCTTGAGGTAAAAAAACTTAATAGCTAATGATGAGTACACGAACGCGCTGTGTGGCGATGCTATGTGAACTGATTGGATGAACAATAAAAATAAGTGTATGAGTCTGAAATGCTGATCGGGTGATATGTGCGGTTGCACCGTACACACACATTGTTGACGTTTTAAAGTATTAATTACATACAAAAACACATTATACAATTCGTACACACTCTACACACATTAAATATAGACATTACATTTACACTATACACACACTTCACACATACTTTATAGACATACGCTCACTTAACATTTAATTATACATGGGAAGAGCAGAACCACCCAATACAAGCAGTTTTACATGCTTCGTGGGTGGTTCTGGCCACGGCGTAATACTGTGACTAATCAATGTTAAGGAAATAAACTATTTTTAATTTTTTACATGTGGTAGAGCCACGCTGCAGCTATTATGGTTGTAGCATGAATGGGTCGGCTCCATTGGGGAAGGACCACGCTCTCACAGATCACAGAATACTAGCGTAAAATAGCAGCTTAATGCTGATGTGTTTCGTATGGTAAGTGTAGAGAACCGGATACCCGTTTTACTGAAATCGAGGCATTCCATTTTAGTCCTCAAGGGTGACAACTCATCTGCATTTTGATTCTTAATTGAGGTTAAATGTAGATGTCTATGAGCCACAGCATCCACTTACCATCAGATGGACTGTGTGCTCATTTGTTACCCTTATCCTATAAAAAAAATTAAATTTTAAATTAATGAACAAGAGCTTAGTTATTCAAATAACACGCTTTTTAGGAATATTGTTTTAGATTTATATAACATTCATAACTAACATCATAGTTTTTTAATTATAAATTGAATATACAAGTTTTTTTAAAAACCTGTGGCCGTGGAAGGAAAAGGGGAGATCTCCCGCCGGGCAAGGTGTTCTGCCCGGGGAGCGGCCAACACTCCGTGTGATAGTTCGGAGAAGTTCTATATATACTGTCTATGATTCGGAAAGTTAATAGCGCGATTTAGGCTTCGGTGTGTTTCGGTGTGCTGGTGGCGCGACGACAGCGCCGCTACATCACCCCACTGCTCAGACCGGAGGTCGATAGTGCAGTCGAGTTGTCGACGAATGTGCAAGTGCCAGGAGATTGCCTTGTAGTCTGCGGTGAATCGAGAAGAAGGCAAGTAATCTGCGAGAGTGCCGTGAAGCAGAGGCGAGCATTAAGGCTCAGAGCCGTGCCGAACACTGTATGGCGCAGAGAGTAGCTTGAAGGAACAGGAAGCATTATTATTCCAGTGCTGCGATGAACCTTGTGAAGCTAGATGGCTTGCAGGATATGAAGACTGCAGACGATATCTGCTCGGGAGCGAATGGGTGGGGTATTCTATGACGATGATGAAGCTTGAAGCTTCCGAAGGTTGTTTGGTTGCGTGTTCAGATCACGTCGGGGTCACCACTGTGGCCGTAGAAGGAAAAGGGGAGATCTCCCGCCGGGCAAGGTGTTCTGCCCGGGAGCGCGCGCAACACTCCGTGTGATAGTTCGGAGAAGTTCTATATATACTGTCTATGATTCGGAAAGTTAATAGCGCGATTTAGGCTTCGGTGTGTTTCGGTGTGCTGGTGGCGCGACGACAGCGCCGCTACAACCTTTTCTGATATGTGAAAGCATCATATTATGATACCTTCATATCATAATATGATGCTTTTTACGAAGTAATCTTTTAATCAAATTTGTAATCTTTTACAAAGAATGAAAATTTAGCATTATCTACTGTTTCAAACTGGTATTCTGTAAAAACGTGGTCCTGCTCCAATCAATCTGACTCCATTCATGCTACAACCATAACAGCTGCAGCATGGCTCCATAAAGTGTTGTAAACCCACCTGCTAAGCATGGTAGCTAAGGCAAATATCAACTATAAGTTAATATAAAAGGCAGGTCTTTTAATAGTTTTAAAATTTGTTAAAATAATAATTACAGAAACGGAGCAGTCGGAGCAGAGTAAGGCGGACGCTGTCGTGGAGGCCGAGGCACAAGCTCAAGCAGAAGCGGAAGCCGAGGCGGAGGCGGGCGACGCGCGCCCGTGCGCCGCGCACGCCGCGCGCTCCTGGAGCGACGCGCGCGCGCTCTCCACCGACCTGCTGTTCTAGGTGCCGCCTTGCGCCGCACTTGCGCCACACCACACACCAATCTACGCGAAGTGCTCGGACATAACTACTTGCATTCGACAACACCAGTGAAACAGTGCTGTGTTTAATGTGGACAATAAGCGACCTCATAAAATGTTGAAATACCGTATTAAACGACCAACTGCAAGCAATGTATTCATAGTGCAAGTATTGTATCACCACTCGCAATCGACATAAGCAGTAACAAAACAGTGCTGCATTTAATTGGACAGGAAGGAACTTAATTTTTCTACTCAAATTGTTATGTTACACCAATATTGATATTGTGTGGTTTGAGCATTAAACTTGAGCTTATCTTTGAATACTGTCCGGTGTGACTGGAACAAGAACAGAAGTACCTTGCAGCATTAGAATGAGAAGAGATTCTTCCCAAAATTAATTGAAAACTATATCATTCTCTCACGTTCACTCTTACAAACTACAGTGAAAGAGTGGTCTATTAAAAATAGACGATAATTTCATTCAATTCAATTTAATAATGGAACTAGCTATTATGCTACTAAATACTAATTCAAAAGTCACAGCTCGAATTGAAGTTACAAAATCCTTACAGAAATGTACCAAAGTGTGATAGACAAGAACAGAGTGAAACAATAGAGGTCTTATTACAGGACTCGAAATAAACCATTCATTTTTAAAAGTCCAGTTTCCTTGGATGTATGAAAGAAGAAACAAAGTGTTTGACATAAGCAGAATTCTTTTGCAAGTTGCCATAAAGGAAAGAATACACAGCACTGTATCAAAGACTAGAACTTTTCCTTGTGTTTGTGGTTTTGGCCTCGCGGATAGGACTAAATAAAGAAATCAATATCTCCATATTATGTGTATTTGTTATATTATATGGGATTGCTTATTTTTTTTTAAAAACTCGTTATGTTTACAAATATGCAGTGTTGTGACATAAATCAAACTACATGTACAAGATTCAAAAGTTAATGGAGAAGTGAAAAGAAAATATTTAAAAAAAAAACTTTAAAAACGTGATAGTATTACAATATAAATTTAGTTCAAGAAATTTTTGAAAATATGTTATTGCCATGCCAAAGCTGTGTTTTATATGGGGGCAATAATCTATTACGTATAATGTCCATTAAGCCATTTCGTTTGACTCTTATAAGAGCTATGGATTCATTTATATAACAACCAAACAAATTTTACTTGCATTTGTTTACAAGTCATTACATTAACATATTTACACTATAATATTTTTGTACTAATATTTGTCTACATACTGGTATTAAGATTATCTTTTAACTAGGTTTATTAAATGAGTTAAAAGATGTAGACATAAGTGAAAATCTGCTCAAGTGCTATTTATACAAACCTCTATATCTGGCAACACCAAGTCATATCTTAAGTACTTAATGTAAGTTACAAATGATGCATTGATTTGACGAAGCTGACTGACTAGCTGATAATGACCTATAAGGCATTTTGAAGGAATTTTTAGATAATAAATTTAGCAGGTATAAAAAAATTTTATGGTCAAGCAACTTAAATTCTGATGTTATTACAATTTATCATTCCCAAAAATCCATTCCAGAATTTTAAAACAAGACTGTCATCAATTTTGTACTGTTATACAAGTTTATAAAAAAAAGGAATTGTACATGTTGTAAAATACAACTCAAGTTAGGGAAATTTGTGGCAAAAATCAAAGACATATCAATACAAGTATAATAATATATCCTAAACTTTTTCATTAACAGTATATATAATACATCAAGATCTTGGCTTTGTAAAACAAGTATGCATTTCTTTGTTTCCATTTAAATATAGATATATTTAGCGTGATGGAAAACTTGACATAACAAAATACGTTGCTGTGGTCCATAAAGGTGCACTATGCTAGACGAACCGAGCACAAATTCGTGTAGTGTTTGGTTCGTGCTCGACTGTGCTCTACCTATTGTCGGTTTTTTGATTTGCATGGCATGCATCGATTTGCATGTCGTAGGCTAGTTGTACGTCCACACTTGACACCGCCGGTAGAGCGGCTCAGCTTGTGCTCAGCTCGTGCTCAGCATTTCTAGCATAGACCTTTAGATTTTAAATATAAAAAAGCAACTTACGTCTTTTAACTGAATTTTAGGCGCACCATTTTCGTGTTCAGAGGTGAGAACGCATCTGCATTTTGATTCTCAATCGAGGATAGATGTAGATGTCTGTGGGTATGGGCCACAGTATCTACTTACCATCAGGTGGGCTGTGTGCTTGCTTCTCACCCCTTATTCTATAAAGAAAAAATAATGCTAATAGATTTTTACCACAAACATTATGTAAAAGTTATAGGAATTACAAGTATTAGAAAACTTTTTGACTTCAAATTATTATCATCGAGTTTTGTTGGATTTATATGTGACAATTGCAAATGTAGTCTTTGGAGGAAGGAATCCCAAAAATTGGGATCCTTTTGCTGGAGATATACATAAGTTGTTACATCGAAAAAGAATGAAGAACTTTGTCTTTTAAAACAGTTATTTGCTTGAATAAGTACACACAGGGTGTATGAATATAATAGGATTTTATAATTAATTTTTCACCCACAGGGGCTGCAGTTTTGCAGACCTAATAACCGATAATATTACAGTAATATAACTATAACCTAATCTTACAAGCATTATCATATCTAATGCATCTTGTTTAAGTCTTAAATAATTTTAACATTCTTTCATTGAATTCAGTAACTACTGTAACCATAGTATCAACTGCTATTTAACTCCACAGTGTACATATATCATTATATTTAAATTAATGTATTTTGTCATAATTATTCCTACAACAGTTTTAATGTATGGACTAGTAAACGCGTTTCCATAAGTATACGCGACATCAATATAGGAAATAGTTTGGTCAATGATGTATTTAACTTAATGCTTTGCTATATTATTGTGATTCTGTAACCATATTTTTGTATAACTCATATTATTACACGGGAGTAGAATGGTGGGGTCCAAAGGTTAGTACTGCGGACAAAGCAAGTGCCTGCTGTAAAATGGTGTGGAGACTCATAGCATTTATATTAGTGTAATATCTGTTTCTAGGGCACGCGGAAATACGAACAATGACACTAATGGCCAAATACACAAACGCTGCTCAATTTTATGATGCCTTTAAGTCTCATGCTGTCTCTATCACTCTAAGTCAAAATGACTGTGATACCACGAGACTTTACGACATCTTAAAATTAAGTAGTATCATGCATGCATGAATTAACGCTGCATGGGGTTAATTCCGTGAGGCTGTCACGCGGTAGTATTTGGCCTTAAGTTTTTTATTATGTTATTCAAGCAATAATATGTATTGCTCTCTATAGATTTCTTTATCCCTTACGTTGTACAGGGATAAGAAACGCGGTCATTCAGAGGTAACAAACTGTATTCAATTTCAATTGTTTTTTAAATGGTGTAGTGTAGTAATATCAATATTCAATGTTTATAATAATTGGAAATAATTCTTAAGAACTGTGAACTTTGTTATGTTCTCTGTCTCCGTCTCACTGTTGCATTTTATGAACATTAATTATTTTTAATATAATATAATCAAGACGGTATAAAATTTATTTACTGATTTGACCAGTCTAGTGCTGAATTTATATTTTCTGACAAATACTTGATAGTAATAATAATAGTTATAAATTTGGCAAAAGGTGGAGTGAAGGTCAAAATCACAGTACCAAAAATGTTAGCTATCCATACAGTAAGCTCATTAAGGTCAAGGTGATGTCTGTATTTCCGCCTGTTCCAGAAATGGACTTGTTCAATTTGTATAGCTGAATTAGTTCAGGCACGCTTTAAGCGTGTCAAATTATTTTTGTTTGTATGTTTGTCTGCTCCTGTACATACAACACGAATCCGTTTTTTGTAAATAAACATTGCTTATGTATGTAGGGCGTTGAGATGTTATAGGACATCATCATCATTCAGAAGCCCTTCAGACATCCACTGCTGAACAGGCCTCTCTCAAGGAATGCCATAAAGCACGGTACTGAGCCACCTGCATTTCTTACCAGGTCCAGGTTATAAAGCAATCAAAAATTGTATTGCTTTTTAAAATTTGTGATATAATAAAGGTATATGAAACTCATTTATCACAATGTACTATTTAGAGCAAGGATTACATATTAAAAGAATTACCGTCATATTCACTAGTCATTGTTACAATTTATCTTCGCCCGGCGGGACGTATATAATGATTTAACTTTTACTTTACTATGGAAATTATTTACTTAGAGTTGTTTGTTTGAGAAAAAATAAACAAAACAGAATTACTAACTGATTTTTCAAATAAAGTGAAACAAGCACAGTAAATCATCTTTTTTTTATAGAATAAGGGTGACATACGATTACCCAGCCCACCTGATGGTAAGTGCTGTGGCACATAGAATCTACATTTATCCTCAATTAAAAATCTAAATGCAGCGTTGTCACTCGTAAAGATTGAGATGGAATGCCTCCGGTTCTTTACACTGACCATATGAAACATAGCAGCATTCAGCTGCTATTTTACGCTGGTATTCTGTCGAGCCGACCCATTCGTACTGTAACTATAACATACCTATGCTTCACTTTCTACTGATAAATCTATTTCAATTTTCACTTAATCATTTAGTTCCTATCTTGTTATGGGGTTTCACTGCCTTGTTGGTCTAGTGGTCGCTAACGCGATTCCTGATCATGATATCCCTATTCGAATCACGGGTTGCGCCAATATCAGATATTGGGATTTTCTATCCAGAAATTCTCAGTTGCCCGGAGTCAGGAAATTGGCGGTGTCTCACCCTGTGCCTCGGAAAGCGCGTAAAGCCGTTGGTCCTGCGCCTGATCTCTATGGACGTGTAGGGTTACTGTCCTATCGGACTATAAGAATGAGGGAGTAGAGAGTGCACCTGCACGTGTGCATACACTCGACTATAATCCTGCCCAGCGCAGATGGCTAGTCCCATCCCAGAGACTTGCCAT